TCTTCCCTTCTGGCTGTCCTTCTTCCTCTTCTTCTTCTCGTCTGGGCCTACCGTTGGCCCCTCAGGTCGAGTACGTCTCCATATCAAATTGCATCCCCCCCCCCCCCAAAGAGCCATCTCAGCCACCCACATCCACACATTTCATTCACACGTTCAGGCGTGAGGGAGGAGCGGAGTTAGAAGATGGGGGAAGAAAAAATACCAAATATCGCAAAAAAAAGATTGATTTGCATAACCTGTAAAATTTGAACGTTACCAAACGGTTTCAGGTTTATCTTCATTTAAGTTTTTTTTGAAGGCGAAACGCAAGTTCTACACACGTTTCGGGTTAAAAAAAACCTATTTTTTTAAGAAAATTGCTTTTTCGATATCAAAAAAATTCCAAGCATTCCGATTCGGAATAGATCTACCTTGAAAATCCTAAATTTCATCCGAAATATCTTTGAATCAGCTCTAACCTAAACATCTAGGTTTATATGAGCATCACGTAGCCCACCCCAAACCCACGAGGCAATACTGTAAACACTTGGACTTTGTGCGTTCTACGTATGGTTCTTCTTCCATGATTTCTCTGCGTGATCTCGTTGAATTTTGCGGTGGACTTTTTTCACAGATATTTGCGGCAATTTCACTAGCAATAAACAGAAAAACGACGCATGACAAAAAGAGGTTCCAAAACTAGAAAATGTTCGCGTGGAAAGCAGCGCCGCGTAGTCGCGTGTAGGCCTACGTAGCAGTACTATAAACCCGCGTTTGTATGCTTCCCTTACTTACTCTCAGGTTTTTTGGTGATTTTTGTCGAACATCTCTAGTTTTTCTTGTATTTTTTTAATTAAAGCCTGTAAAGGTTTTGGATTTAATAAAAGGCAAACAATGTTGGGAAACGCTTTTTCTGCCTGTATTAGGAAAAAAATACGAAAGAACGATCACCGGACAGAAAGGTTAGACTTTAGAGCAGCGCAAAAAGCATTAGAAAACTCATAAAGAGGAGGAGTAATGATACTGACTCATCTGCTCCTAGACAAAAACAGGAAGCAGTATCATAATCACCTTTAGAGCACTGAAAACACAATACGGTTTAGCAAAAATAACCGGGTAATAAGACAATCCAAATGCCCTCCAATAAATGAATTACCCGCTCCTATATCTCACCCGCCCCCCTCTTTGAGTGGGGGAACACGCGGCGGGAGATAAACAGCCTGGAAAACCTACACCACTCGCGTCAATCCGCCCCCCCAAATCCCCGCGTGTTCTTGTTGTCCTTCGGAAGTTTCCGCGCTTTCTTTGCCGTTTTTTGCCAGCTCACATGATTGACCTGATCTGCGTAGTATGGGAGTGGGTCGATTAATTGGAGAAGGTCAGGTCTTCCGTTGTTTTCCGGCGGATTTCACCTGGCAGGAATTCTGAGATGTAATTTTATAGTTCAAAATTGGATGGATGAATGGATTCCACCATGAATTGTTTTTAATGCTGGATATACTAGAGTTCCGTTTTTCCTGAACAAAATAGCCACTTAGGCCTTTTTAGTCATTTAATTTTGATAGAAAAGCTGGGATGTGCGACATCGGAAACTGGAAAATTTGAAATTTTATAGCAATAAATTGCGTTGTGCTTACGTCAAAATGAATTTTTAATTGTTGCTTATAACAGATAGGCAGGGAGTGAGAGAGAGAGAGAGAGAGAGAGAGAGAGAGAGAGAGAGAGAGAGAGAGAGAGAAGAGGAGAGCAGAGAGGGGGATACAGACAAAGAGAGAGAGAAAGAGAGAGAGAGAGAGAGAGAGAGAGAGAGAGTGAGAGAGGGCGAGAGAGGGTGAGAGAGGGAGAGAGAGACTTTCTTAACTTACAACAAACATCTAGATACCTTAAACTTGAATAGAAAAGCCGAAACATCCGAAGTTTGGCCCTCCGGCTGAACTTTCGCTAATTTAGCCCGCCCAAATTGAATGCAATGAGATGCCGCCAGTTGGGCAGGCTCGAATCCAAATTGCGGAAAACGAAGAGCGAAAAGTGGGAAACGAGAAGCGGAAAACAGACAACTTGACGGCAAAGCGGTGAATCAGTTCCAAGGAAAAGTTTAAAATCAACGATTTATTAACGATAAACACTGAATTTGATGGTTTACTTTATTAAAATATCTGAAGCTTTCAAGGGAAGTCTAAAAGCTCAAATACCTGCAAAGGAGAAGACGAGAATTCAACAAAAATGCCCCAAGCTAGTAGGAACCTGAGATGCGTAAAGAAGAATTTGCTAGGTATTGGAGCAGTGTACGTGCCAGGACACTATTACGTTCCGATTTTGCCTAGCGGGACAGCGTGAAATTTTTAGCCGAAGAATTTGGCAGGAGTTCAAAAGCAGTTTCAATAATTATCCGGCTCTTACAAATTACACCATACTATACTAGTTAAAAAGTGGAAACGTAGAACTGACGAAACTCGCGAGTAGAACCTTTGCAGGTCCGTGTTCAATCCGTCCCGAACATACAGAAGTACAACCCGCGATACAGAACCTCCGTCTACCCCAGAAAAGTTGCCATTTCACGGATATCCTCCCTCCTCCGCCCCGAACTTTCAGGGTGTGAATACATAGCTGAAGCCTTCGGGCCTGAATAGACCCCGTGGAGTCAATTCCATTTTTTGGGGGATTCAAGGCCCGCGGAGGTCCCAAGGTGAAGGTCGCTGAATTTGAAAGCATTTTCTTCCGCTGAGGAGGTCCTCCTTCTTTCGAAAGTGTTAGGAAAAGCTCAGACAATCGCTTGACTGCAGGCGCGTGCCTATTCAGAAGTCAAAGAACCAGGTGGAGGAGAAGGAGGAAGGGGAGGCGGAGGTAGAAGAGCAAAAGGTTATGAGCAAGAGTAGGAGGAAGAGGAGGAGGAGTCGGAAAGGTCTGCGAGGTGGAGGGGATGAAAAAAAGGTGTTGAAGCTTATGCATATCGAAGAGGGCAGGGCGGCAATCAAATTTTGGGAGCACGAGGGTGAGTTCTGTTTTCGTGCGTCGGGAGGGCGGAACGCATCGGAGAACAGAGGAAGTGCCAAAATTCGACACAGAAAAGCCTATAAAACTTGTATAATTTCCTGCAATTTTTGAGGGGCATCTGTGGCTGATCCCACCTTACATATTTTCTGCAAATAAATGGTAGGACGTAACAGTAGCCTAAAAAATTAAACTTGATCTTATATACAAATTTTTTACTTTTTTTTTTTTTTTGATGCTGAGGAATTTATGGTTTTCTTGAGTTTCGCAACTTGCTAGCAGGCAAAGATTCCGTTCTCTTCCGGTTCCAGTCAAAACACGAGCTGCTCGGTGCTGAAAAAAAGTATTTCCCGGTGTGTTTGTTTCGAATTGAATTGGCCCCTGGAAAATTGGCGACTACGGCTGGATACCCTGGACGATAGCGATGCACGTACCAGACGATGCACAGCAAGCTTTTGCTTTCACATCTTGAAGACCAGAATTTTTTACTGCAAAAATCCTCGAGTTTTTCTAACGCATGTTTTTCATTTCCAGAAAGAGCCAACTGTGTGTTCAAAAACCCCATTCTAATTTTCATAAAACTTTTCTTTTTCGTAATTTCTGGTCACTAAAGTAAGTAGGACCTTGAAAAGCTAACTCACGCATTTCCACCGCAACCAGACCTAAACTGGCAATTTCGGGGCACAAAATGCCACTTTGTCTCCCTTCCAGGGGCTGTAACCGTGCCCAATTTTCAGGCGGAAGTGAAAAAGTCAGCCTGGAGGGCAGTAAAAAACGTTCTGAACTTGCAATAAAACAGATTCAGAAAAAAATTTGGTTGCTTAGGACACAACTTTAGGTGCTTTATTACGTGCTTTATTGCTTTATTTATTTATTCAAACGAAACAATAGCAATATAAAAATTAATGGGGTTGTGTACGACAAGGAACACGATAATTTTTGAGTGGTCGTTTCAAGATCACCGGAAGCAGGTGGATTCTGGTATACGGTAGTTTGTTCATCAGTTTCAGGGTCCGTCATATCTGTTGTTTCAGCTGGACGTGCTGCTTCTGAAGTCGAAAGAGCAGCTGTTGTAGTAGTTTTTGAGGCTTTAATCGACTTGGTCTTCTGTGTTTTCCCTGGTTTCGTCGTCTTTGAATTAGGTTGCGGTGTAACTTCTTCTGAAAAACGGCTTTATGATAGCTTAAGGCCAATGGAAGTGGAAAGGTAATTCTCTAGTAGAAAGAAGTGACGTTTTAAGTACCGCTAACCTGGCGTTTCAGGAATATACGGTTGAAATTTCGGCAAATCTGGTTGGTAACGGACCGCTGAAGCTACGGCCGTTGCAAGATCGAAATTACAGTTATCTTCAGCACATATGATGTAATTTATATGGTTCTCGGCGCCAAAGTTGACCGAATAGTTCCCGACCTAAAAATTAAACCATTTTGGCATTTTTCTGTGTTATTTTAGAATTTTTGTGGTGCAGAACCTAGGTATTGATAAAAGTTCATGTTTACGAAAAAAAAACAGAATCATTATTGTATCGTGCACGGACTTCTAGGATCGAGCAACTACAAAACAAGCCCGTTTTTTGAAAATTCTATGTTTTAAAACCCCCCTCAATGCGTCCCCGCGCTCGTGTCGAATTCTGTGTAAAACAGCCTCGAGAGTATGGGTTTGTCTTGATAGCGCCCGTTGACCAGGATTCGGGCCACCAGCTGTACACGCAGTATTCTCCCAAACAAGTCCGCGTCCCGTCTGCGTCATTTTGTGCTAAAATACCATGAAATCGTGTGTAGAGCTACACGTTGCTGATTCAAAAATCATACACTTAACCCACTTAAAATATGGCATGTCACCTTCTGCTCCTCCAACTTCCAAGGTATGAAATCGTTGCAGAAATCCTGAATTTTGATTTTTATAGGTAATCCCAAGAAGTATTGGGGGTTCCAAAAAGAAAGGCTATTTTTTAGAAAATTGTACCTTCATGCTACCGTATACACCTATTTGCCAGGTTGATACGTAAACTCCTCTGAACGACACCTTTAACTTACCCAGTCGCAAGCCGCCTCGTACATCGGTATCATGCTCCCGTCCCAGTCCGCTGCGTAGATACCGCCCATATAGAATCTACACACTGTTTTTCGTAGACCAAGCTCATTAACTTACAATAGGCGATTTGAAGCGAAAGCGTCAAACCCGTAGAGACCAGTCAGATCGGTGCTACCGTCGAAGATATCGGAGATTCCAATAGTGACCAGCTCGCCGGTGTCTTCGGAATGCTAGAAACACGACCGCCCATGGGTTCAGTCCAGATGGCCAGTTGCGAACGGCAAACTGTACGCTTTTTGCCGCGTTGGGTGCGTGGGGCGCATAATAGCAAGGCGTTTTTGGCTTCGCCATTGCACGCGTGGCAGGTCTTTCCTGATTTCAAAAGTTACCAGACGTTTTATTAGCGGCCGGGCTGCCAATGAAATCGACTATTTGAGAGCGCGGCGGTTACACGTCGTAATGCTCTGTAAGGCGAAACGCCGCCATCCTCGATTTCGGTGATTCTCAGACCATTGTTTATAGTTAAAACGAGCGATGGTTTAAACTGTGTAAGGGTTTTGAAAATGACGTCGATATTTTGAAATATCGAGGTTTTCTCACTTCTAAACAGGACCAAGAGGGCTCGCAGCCCAGTCCTGTTGCGTTCGTATCTGGCTTTTGTATCTGGCATATCAGATTTTCTAATAAGATCTCTGACAATCTAATTTCACGGTATCACCCAGAACGCTAATGCACGTTCTTAGTTTCAGCTTACATGCATGTAGTAGGTGTCACCGCAAGCTGCGCTAGTTGCCCTAGCGGTTGTTCCAGCATTAACAATCACGTCATCTAGCGATGTGATGTTGACAAACTAAATAAAAAGATCCATCTATTTTTCACGAAATTACCTCCGGCATCTTGTAGCAGTTAATGAATCGATTATTCTTCGTGACTGACACCTCCTGGCTGCCCATGGTGGCCGAAATCTTTGTGTTTGTTGGCTGGGTCGGCGGTGAATTTGGGATCCTTTTTGTTACAAGATGTCGTACTGTAGTGAAGGAGGTAGTTTCGTAATTAATTTAGAGCCTACTTGCAAACACAAAAATAAGTAGGACCGTCTGCGTAGCTGACATCATCATATATACATCCCGGAGTTATATATTTTAATCCGGAGACGCATCCTATGCGAGTAGTTACCGGAAAATCTAAAAAGGGGTGTCTTTCTCTCTCCCCCTCCCGCTCTATCTCTCTCTCATCCCCTCGGTCTCTCTCTCCCTCTCTCTCTCGCTCTCTCGCTCTCTCTCCATCGCCATCCTTTTCCTCACTCTTTTCCTCGCCTTTGTCTGTCACTCTCTCTTCCTCTCTCTCTCTCTCTCTCTCTCTCTCTCTCCTCTCTCTCTCTCTTATTTTCTCGCACTATCTCTCCATCTCAAGCTTACCTTACGCCATAGTCTTCGTACGCAGGGGTCCATTATCCAGTAGCTGGTATACTGAGGCAAAATCGCCCTCGCAATCCTCGCTAAAATTGACGTCCGTTATTTCTATTAATATTACCTATCACCGAGATCTCCCCTGCGCCAACAAGTGGTTGCTGAACAGGATCGACAAAACAGCGCAACATAAATTGCAATAATAAGAAGGGACATTTTTTTAACGACTTCCTAAGTGGATCGGATAGCTGAGCGAAAAACCCTTCAATCCTGGAAATATTTTCCGTCACGGCAAAAAAAGCATTTTTGCTAACTGCATGGAACAATCAGGTAAAAAATATAGAAAGATTGTCACCAAACCAATTTGAGCACTTCCAAAGCGCTGAGCGAGCTCTGAAGGCTGGATATAAGATTCAGGTAAAAATTACCCAAGACGCTACCTAACACAGGCTAATTGTGGGCTAACCCTTTGATGCTCAAATAAAAATGTCGGATCCGGCGTTAATCGCTAAGTTTTGAAGGATTTTTGGCGCCACTTTAGAGATCTGTTAAATAGAAAGATTTCCGGATCGTTGGTTAAAGCGTTGGTAGTTATGCTGTGGAATTTAATATGAGCCTCAGCCCGAAATACCTTAAAGGCATGACTCGAGCAGAAATCCAACGCTTACGTGGATTGCCTGAACTTTGCCAGATTCTGCTAAATTTTCGCGCCAAACAGCCCGTAGCATCCACTCAGCGCACTAAGAGAGGCTGCTAGGTGCGTACTTTTATGCGATCCAGAAATGGATGTTAATTTCAGATTTTACTTCCGGAAAATCGGTAAATACGGATCAGCACGCAAATTATGACATAAACCCAGAAGTCGCTTTCAAAGTCGGAAGCCTGATAACGATCCGGCGGATCGGGCAATTAGTCCTTTAAAGCGATGGCGACGGAATAGTCAATCGCTTATGCGCTGGAAAGAAAATGTCTCTGCGCTTCTCCCCAGGGCGACGAGCTCGGGCCCTGTTGGCTACTGGCCAAATTGTTGATTGGGGTTCCCTCGACAAATGCCGTCGGCAGCCCTTAAATTATGCTCGAGAAGGTCTGCCGGCGAAAACACCGTTTTGAACCGTGCAGTTTATTAAGCCGCCGCCCCTGACACAAACTTCTGTGTAGAAGCCCGGGCAGAGCTTAA